TCCTCAATTTTTTTTCAGATTGGTGCAAAAGTAATTGCCTTTTTTGTATTTATGAACTTTGCTGTTTGACGCATAAATGTAACTATATTTTGTTTCAGCTTAATGCCAATTTCTTTTTCTTCGTGTTTTTTATTGGTAGTAACTTACTACTTTTTTTTCTTGTATTTGTTTTAGTTTTTCTTAAATCTAAACCAAAAAATTATATTAGGTAAAAAGCAAACTCAGTGATATTTTTGTTTGAATTAAAATAGCCATAGAAAGCATTATTACTTTTTATTGAAAGCGTTATTGCTTTTGTACCAATTTCATATAAAATCAAGTATTATCGATATTATGTGGTTTAAATAAAATCTACGATTATATTTGACAAACATCCCTTATTTACTGGATTTAATCCTTTGAAATTTTCTTTCAGATTTAATAAAAGCAGCATTCTAAAACTTATTCAAATGACTTTTGAGACTTCTTCAGATTTTGTGCAGAACGATTTGCATCATTAACGCGAACTTTGGAGCTGGCTGACATATCAGATTTCAGCTCATTAGTGCTGATTACAAATTTTGCAACTCTTGTGAGCACATATGCGCGAGGTACTGTTATGCTTTTAGTTTCGGTTAGTAGTATGGTTCATTTTTTGTATATGTGCCTGATATATGTTCTTTTTCCTTTTTTTTTAGGTTTTACAATTGTAATTGAACCACTGGATGAGAAAAGTGGCATTGGCCATAGTTGTACGCTACATCTGAGCTGTATGGATGCTTCAGTTGCTATTCGTCCCATTTTTCAACGATATCGTACAGTTGTTATCACTTCAGGGGTAGGATTTTAAAGTTGGTTTTTAGCTAGAGAATGCGTTAGTTAGTGGTAGTGTTATTTCCTTCTTCTGTACGGTGAAATAAATTAGAATAAATCAAAATCGGCTGTTTCAAATTATATATAAACTAAATTTTGAGTTAGCTAATTAAATCAATCATGGAAAGTGCTTATTCTAGTGGATGAGCTGATATGAGTTTAACTCTTCTCGTGGAATTTTTTGTTTTCAAAAAAAAAGAAAAAAAGACGAGGTTGAAAAGTTTATTTACAAAATAAATGCAGACTTTATCGCCACTGGATATGTACCCGAAAATTCTGGACTTTGATCCGGCTGTTATGGCAAGCTTATCAATGACACTAGCAAGACCATGTATTGCTCCACTAATTGTTTCAAAAGGTTTGGTACCTGTTGCTTCAGCATACAGTTTATGTCTCTAGTAGTTTTATTATTCAGTGCTACTTCAACACTTTTATCTGGGTTTACTACTGTAATTTGTGTGTTTGGTCATCACGATAGTTTCGCTAGAAATTCACTGCAGGCAATGATCAAGTTGCAATGACATCCCGTTTTGAGTCCCGGGAAGATGCTGCCGTAATTCGGAATTACGGGAGCCTTGTTTTGGAACTTGTTTCTTTGGTACCAGATGGTGTTGTCGTTTTTTTACCAGTTATATTTATATGGAAAATGTTATTTCAACATGGTATGATCAGGTAGTTGTGGATCTCTAGCGTACCGGAATCCATGAAGACTGTTTTATAATTTGAGTCAAACAATATTTCAAGTATGTTTGATGTTGGTGCTAAACTTTGATTTTGATTTCTGCAGGGTATTATTGATGAATTATTGAAATACAAACTTTTGTTCATCGAAACAACTGATGCGCTCGAAACAAGTATTGCTTTAGAGAAATATGTGGAGGCATGTGACTGTGGTAGGGGAGCTGTATTCTTTTCTGTTGCGAGAGGGAAGGTATTTCTAATCATGGCTTTTCTCGTGAAATAAGTTTTCATAAGTTTTTCTGTTCGAAATATTGGAATTTAATTGAAATACGTTAATGCCGAAAACCATAGGTATCAGAAGGAATTGATTTTTCGCATCATCTTGGCCGTGCCGTAATAATGCTTGGTGTTCCATATGTATATACGGAAAGCCGAATACTACGAGCGCGGCTGGAATATTTGCGAGAACAGTTGGGAATAAGGTGATTTTATATTGCGGAAATAGCAGAAATTCAGAAAAAAACCACTTTTAGAATTGCAAAATAAGGAAGAAGATGAAAACTGAAATTTCCATGAAGAAATAGTTTATCACATCTGTCTGCCTTTACCTTAGATATTTTAGGGAAAATGATTTTCTAACATTTGATGCTATGCGTCAGGCAGCACAATGTATGGGTCGTGCACTGAGAGGAAAAAGTGATTATGGTTTGATGATATTCGCTGATAAGGCTAGTTCTTCCTGCTTCAAATATGAGAAGCCCAATTGTTTGAGCTATTTCTCATTTTACAGTGACTTGGTGAATGAGGTTCACAACAGTTATGTTTTAGAGGTTTTCACGGAAAGATAAAATGGGTAAACTTCCTCGTTGGATTCAGGAATATATAACGCCTGGTAATGTCAACCTCAGCATTGAAGAAGCTGCTATAATAGCGAGAAAGTATGGTTTTAGGATATTTCATATTAACATCCACGAATAGTAGTGCTGATATAGTAATCCGTCAGGAATTTTCATGAATTATCGTTGCGAAATCATTTACAAATGTTATTAGGAAAACAATCTAATGCTTTTATAGGTCAGTGAACAAATAATCAATATCATTTTTTGTAGATGGTTTCCATTAATGGCGCAATCGTTCACTAAAGACCATCAGCTGGGAATCTCTTTGCTTACTGAAGAAATGCTTCGCGAAAAAGAGCTACTGGGGAAAAAATTTGGTCATGTTTTAGAAGAAATTGATTAAGCAAATTGAAAAGTATATTCGCATCCCTGAAATCAAACACTACATTTCGAAATGGGATATGAAAACTGGAAAGACAAATTTTCTGTAAAGAAATGGTGTTTATTTTTTCCCAGGAATTTTCAAAAATACTAGAATAGGAACTATCAGTTTATATTGATTAGCTTTTAATGAGAATTTGATGCTTTTCAAGACGCCATAGGTTCAATGCACCGTGCTGTATCCAAAAAAAAGAAAGAACATCTTTGTACTGGTGATGGTAAGTTACTTAAATCAACACTGAGAAGTATATTTAAGATGGTGACTTTTATTTTCTCATTTTTCTTCAGTCTAATGGTTCGATTTTATTTATTTTATGGCATTTCTACAATTTAACCGAGGACTGATTTGTTTGTTCGTCTTTGATTTTTGCTATCAATTAAACCGGAATAATTGAGATGTTTTGTTCCGCTATGGAATTTTCAGAATGTTGCAAATTATATATATATATATATATATATATATATATATATATATATATATATATATATATATATATATATATATATATATATAT